AATCTATATTAGCTTTTTCTTTATCTTCCTCCAATTTTTTCTCTTATGAAATTAAATAATATATTACCCTATATATTAATAAGAGGACTATAGAAAAAGACTATCTAGAAGAAAGAACTTAGTACTTATAGGAATTTATAACTTATATCCTATTATAAGAATAACCCTGATATATATACTTACTATACCGCGAAGAACCTTCTATTATTAAGTACTCCTTCTAATACTTAAAGCAATATAAGCATAGTATATCTATAAATTTACGCGATAGTTTAATACTTATAGCTAGAAATTAATACTCTTTAGTTTTTTAGTTTAGATATTTAGAAATATAACTAGATATTTTATTAGTATAATATCTTAGAGTATTTATAAGTCTAAGTTATCCCTATTAATAAGGAAATAAGAAGTAGCTACTTAAATAGCCTTATAGGCAAGGCCTTAGGAGGGGAGATATTATATTACGACCTAATATATACCTAACCTCCGAGATATATATAACTACCCTATACCTAAAGGTATCTATTAATTAGCGGAGGACTAATCCGAAACTAGATCGCTATGATCTAAGGAATACTATAATCCTCGGATTATAGCGCTCCCTAGAAGACTATAATCCCCTTATAACCTATTAAGTATATAGAGCATATTTATTGCACTTTCTTATATACTAGTTACCTTAGCTATTAATATAACTTAGTTATATTTAATACCTTAAGTATATTACTAGACGTAATGTTATAATACCTCTATTTAAGATAACGCTAATAATCTAATACTAATATAAACCTAGTATGACCGGTTTATCCCTTAGACCTAACCCCGATTGTTATAGGCTAGGACTTATAATCAAGGAGGTAATAGCTTATAGAAATAAGGAAAAAGAGATATTTACCTTTTATTTTATTAAAATAAAAAGGGTAATCCTCGCCGGAAAGCTTTATAATTATTTATCTCTCTTAGTTAAGGTTACTTAGCTCTATAATACCCTCTTTAATATAGGCATTTTAAATAAATCTCTTATTAAATTAAAGAATAAAAGAAAAGATAGGCTTTTCCTTAAACTAAGGGAAGAAGATATTATTAAACTAGAAGTAAATAAATAAAAATAATTCCTTATTAATAAAAGGGCATAAAGCGACCTTTAGTAGCTCTCTAGCTAAAGACTATTAGGGCTCCTTATCTTTATCTAGTATTTCCTATGGGTTAGGCTTTATAGGGAAGATAATAAGATATATTAAGATCTTTTATTTACTCTTATTTTAGCTCTATTTAGCCATAGCCTTACTAAGTTGCGATAAGCTCGCCCTTATGCCCCTTATAATCTAACTCTAGGTAAGTTTAATATCTTAATATATAACTAAGGGCCGCGATATTATAAGGATATAGCTAGGGCTATCTCTAGAATTAGTGAAAATTATCTATAAGGGCGTAAAATAATTAGAGGCTATTAAGTCGATAGACTATATAGCAGAGGAAATAAAGGCTATCTTAATATCTCGAAATAGGATTAATAAGCTATTAAGGATAGGGATACTTATAGGCTAATATCTATTATAATATAAATAAAGATTAGACCTTAGGTAGCTATCGCGGATAAAATTATAGCTCTATTAGTATAATTTAGGGGCTATAATCTTTAGAATATCTAGATATATCTACGATAAGACGTAATTAGGTATATCTATATATAAGATAAGGTTAATTATATAATCTTATAATAAATAGACCTAAGCTTACTTTAGGAATAAATAGGGATAGCCTATAACTACTATGAGGTAGCGATAGGCTAGGTATTAATGCTAGTGTATATATATAAGTAAGTGAGTAAGTAAGTAAAAAAATTATAATATATTACTAGGAATTATTATAATATATTCCCTAGTGGAGATACTATTAAAATAGAGAGATATCTTCCAGATAGTATATAATACTATAGTCTTATAAGGGTCTATAAAATTACTAAGTATTTTAATATAGTTAAGGCTTCCTAAAAGGGTTTTATTACCTATATGGTAATATGCAACCGTAGAGCCAACCTAGCAAGCTAGGTTGGCCACAAAATTATGGGATAGCCACAAAATCCGGGACATCAACGAGGCCCTTTTTCCCCCTTAAATAGCCGCCTTTTTCATCCTCTGAGTTTTAGTGACCGTTAAAAGTGATTTCTAAAGCTAAAAAGGAGCGGGATAAAGCTATTGGCGATGCCTGAAGTGATGATATTGATGATATTAATGATATCTATGATGGAAGCCGTTATGTCGCATATCACCACTAGGTTCGTGCGACTGGATATAAAACGCGGCCCATACTTTGGGGTCATATATCCGGTTTTACATCCAACTTATCGCATCAAGGATTCCAATCCTAACGATATAAGCTTAAATAGCTCTGCCTAAACACATAGCTGTTTAATTTCTTTTGTCCTTTAGATAATTCTCATCAATTGACTGGTGCCATCAGTGATCCCTGTGGAGCCAATTGTCTAACACGTTACTTAAGCTCCCAAGGCCGCCGCCTTGCTGGACGGTTCCTCATACAAATTTAGCTGCGATAGCGTCTCTTCAGCCCCTTTGGCTGGCTTCTCATGTAGCCCTTCCTTGCCTGATGATGCCCGTGATCCTTTGTATCCCTGATATGTGGTGTTGAGGCCGTATCGGGCACGGCGTGGAGGGGGTTTCGGGCGGCAAAGACGGTAGCCGCGGTGATGATGCTGATGAAGCTGTAACCGGCGGCGATGAAGGCATCTCTGATGGCGAAGATAGTTGCTGTAGAGGCTCGAAGAGAGGCAGGTCTTCCTCTTCCTCTTCTTCCTCTTCTTCTTCTTCTTCTTCTTCGGCGGCAGGAGCCCGGTCGAGCTGGAAAGTGACGCTATCGTCACTTCCTGCGAGGGCGGTCCAATCCATCGCGCTAAGCGGTTTCGGGGCAAAGCTAGCTTCGTGAATAACTTTAGTGACTTCTTGCGGCAATTGCGTATCTATTATAAAGCTATTAGGCTTTTAGGTAAGCATCTAATACATAGTTAAACATTGCGTCTCCATAGAATAATACTTAATATCCTTCCCTATATGCTCTAGCTACTAAGCCTATAATAACTTCTTTTTTATACCATTAACTATGATCTCTTTATTCTCCCTCTATTTGTCCTTAATCTTCTTTATCTCCTATATCACGAGGCTGCGAGCCACTCGGACCTATGCCTTTTCTTCCTTCTTTTGCGATTCCGCGATAACTTCCTCCTACTAATCTCGAATCTCCTATAGACTAATATTATAAGAGAAATCGCCTATTAGCCTCGCTCTCTTCCCTCTCTTCTTAGCATTATATCGCTTCTTAATTCGAGCCCAGCGGTTATCTACATAAGTAGTAATTATAGACTTAAGCATTATAGCTTCTATAACTACATTGCGTATCTAACGAAGCCTAGTATGCATTAGAGAGCTAAAGATATCGCCATAGCGATCTAAGAGGCGCTATACGGTATCTACGGCGATCTAGAAGCGGGCGTTATAAGGAAGAAGCAAGGAAAAAATAGGGTTAATAGCCTACTTCGACTAAAGCTACTTTTTAGCAAGGTATATTATCGCTAGCTTAGGATTTAATAGATAGATTCCTAACTTCTCGAAGCCTAAGATAATATTATATGTGGTAAATCCGCTCTCGAAGACTTCTTATAATATAATTTAACTTAGTAACTATATTAATAAAGAAGAAGAGAATAACTTACCTAAAAGCCATGGATGAAATTAAGGCAAGAGAAGGAGATATTTCCCTTCCTAAGCTACTTAGCGAGATACTTTTAATATATGGTTTTTAATAGCTAGAAGACTCCTATATTTATTGGCTGTAATATATATATAGAGTAAGGAGGCAAGGGAGCTATAATAATATTAAACTTCGCATAATACTCTCTAAAAGCAAAGATATTATACCCGGTGAAGCTATTAAGCACGATAAGGCGCCATATAATCTTACTAGTGGTATAAAAAATAGGAGAAATATTATATTTAATATACTTTCATAGAGGATCTTAGAGGAATTCATTATAGCTAAACTACTCTTTAAATATAAGTCTGCGACTTTATACTATAGAAGATTTCCCCTAGGAATACCAATTAAAGTATATTCTTCACTTAAGTATAATCTCGCTATTAAAGAATACTATTTCTAACTAGGCAAAGTAAATATTAGGATCTCCCTCTATATACGCCTAATCTAGCGTTAGAAATATCTTAAAGATAAGCTACGGCGGCGTTATATTACCTATAGCGCTCCCTATACCAATAATGATATAGGTCTCGCGGTTAGAAGGAGAGAGAACCTACTTCCGCGATCTCTATTTCGTCTATATAATAAAGACCTTAATGCTTTCCTTAAGGATCCTGATCCTAATACCGGCCTAGTCAGTATTCTAACACTTAGAAGCGTTAATATTATAACTCTAGATAGCCTTAATAAGCTATTTAAACCACTGCTTTAGGTCATAGAGGCTGCCGGCTTCCTAGGACTTATAAGATTACTTAGTTACTTTAAGGAATACTTACTTAAGCTTAGGATAATCGCCGCGGAAGCGAGTATATCATATCTTACTAATAGGTCTCGCATTAGGATTCTTATATTAAAGAAGCATTATTGCGGTATCTTCGATTTTAGGCTTAGAGGCGGGAAAACCAGACCTTTCTATCTATATAATAAAGGCGACAATAGTTTCTTCTTTTTTATCTATGAGGAGCCACGGCTGGCCGACTTGATGAGGAGTATTTCTGGTCTCTAGGACCTTTATGAACCTTTGAATAGCGGTATGAGAGGAGCTAGGATGCCGTGTGGCCGCGGCACGAAGTGAGAGAGGTTAGGTTGTGGCGATGGAGGCACTGCGATAGAGGCCCCGGGCATACCGCGCACGTGATTGCACGACTTCCCGGGCGGCCTTAAGACTTACATTGCTCGGCATAATGAAGATTGACAAAAGAGAGCTATTTTCTACTAGTTGATGTCGTGAAGAACGGCTAAAATAGGTGGTAATTACTTGGATTTGAAGACGTCAGCAAGTGAGGGGGCTATCCCGGATTTTGTGACTATCCCATAATTTTGTGGCCAACCTAGCTTGCTAGGTTGGCTCGCCTGGGGCCCTAGCCCCACATGAGCCAACGGGTAGGCACGTAACCCTGAATCGATCAGAGAAGGAACTCGGGCGGAATTTTTCACCCTGAGTGGTATTGGAGTAAAAAAAAAATGCGCGACTCATGTCCCTGTCACGATGTGTATTTAGGGTAGCAGGGCGTGTACATGGCGTGCCACTGCTATAGCAATATCCTTCTAGCTACTCCAGCATAAGGATGTACAGGAACTCAGAGCGGGGTCCTGACGAAACCAAGAACATACACACATCCAATCAGACCCATCAGAGAATTTGGGCTCGTGACAGTCCCCGGGACACGATATAGATCCGCCACCCTCGACGATGAGCAGTATATCCAACAACCAAGTAAAGCAAAAATCGGACCCCTTACTTAACTTAGTTAATAATACCCCCTTGCTTAACTTAGTTTACTCGACGAGAGTGCTATCCTTTACTTAGTTAGTTAATATTATTTGGCTATTTACTAACTATATTTGTTTTCCTCTTTCTGCTCCTAGTAGTAGATCTACGCTAATATGCCGCTTTAAAGTAGGTACTTCTAGCATTTAATCGCTACTATAATATCCGAACTAAGCCGATTCTATTTATCTATAATAACTTTCTTTATCTATAAAAAGATATGCTTATACTTAGTACTTATTACTAGATAACTAAATAAGTTAAATATTATCTTTGATAGGATAAGGTAATTAGGTATATAATAAACCTATTACTCTAGAGGGTCCTTAATATCTAAGTTTACCTTATTAGTCCTAGCTATAAACTTATCTAGCTTAGATATTAGTCTTACCCGCTTCTTTCCCTGCGTAGCTAACCCTATAGTAATAGTAAGCCTCTAACGGCGCTTATAAGCCTACTAGAGTAGATTAAGTATCCCATTATTATTTATAATCTCTTTCTCCTCTCGCTCCTCTAGGTCTATCTCCTATTATGCTCTGTCTATTAGGTCTGCCTCTTCTGCTGCCTCGTATTATATAAATACCTTTTATATTACTCTCTTTACCTTATTAATTTATTACTTATTATAACTTTATTTAAGCTTAAAGTAGGTAAACTTATTGGCCGGATATAAGGTAACTATGCATCGGTATATAGGAGTAGTATCTATAAGGCTAAAATATTCCTTAAGCTTAATATAAGTAGTATTAATAGTATAGGAATAATATATTAATACTATATTAGGGTAATTATCTATGAACTTCCTAGCCTCTTAGAGCTTCTTAAAAAGTATATCTAGCGACTCGAGAGTCTTATGAAGTAAGCTATATAATCCTTCCGAGCTAGCTTTATTAGCTCGGCCCTCTATATATTTTATTAGATCCTTGAAAGGCTTAAGGATATTAAGGAAGTAGTCGAGATCGGCCTAATCCTACGGAGTCAGGATATCTTATAAGATATTATATCCTTCGGCGCCGACATGCAGCGCTCGCAATAGTCTAGACCATTTGGACTATTAGTCTAGACTACAATCTAAGATCAATAATCAATCCACGACAGGCATTCATAGATTAACGACTAGGTTAATATATCTCTTAAAACAAGCTTTATTAATCCGAATCACACCAATAAATTAATCAGAAATATCCAAAACAAAATAATTAGCGCAGCAATAATCATAGGTACCCTAGTTTTATAACACTATACTAACAACCTAGCATACTTAGCGTCCATACCGGGCGTCCGTATTCCCTGCCCTAATCTATAGTCTAGACTAATAGTCCAAATGGTTCAGACTATTGCGAGCGCTGATTCCTCATAATAACCATGCTACTTAATATCACCTCTAATTAAACACGCCTCTAGAACTAATAATAGAACTTTATCTAATAAATATCTTTTAGATCGTCGAGCCTATTTAGAATAAAGATCGACTTACATAGTAGATAGTCAATATAGTGTTTTCAGAACCAAGGGTCGATATAACTTATATAGAAAATATATTTATATCTTAGTCTTCGGATATAGTCTTAATTTAGGAGTACCTCGAGGCATATAGCATTATACTAGTGTGAGTATTTATAGGAAAGTCTCAGTTTTTAGAAGGTAAACTTATTAGACTTTAGCTAAACTAGGTTACGATAAAGCCGGGAGTATTTATTTCTTTAACCCCTTTACCGCCTCGTATTTATGCGATAGGTTAATATTATTTAGCGTCTATAGATTAAATATAACCTTTATTTTGCTCGTCGTAGCCTCGATATCTCTCTAAGGCTAGCGATAGTGGTATTATAATTTTACTATATAGCTATATTTATTAGTATAGATATTAATAGTAAAAACTAGAAAGAAATATCGCATAAGATAAGAAATACTAAAAAAAAGCCAAGGATACCGCTAAGTACTACTAGGAATAGTATTAATAGGCCTAAGGTCAATATATTATCGTCGCTCTGGTTTTCTGAGTTACCTAGGGGGGTATAGTTTATAAGCTATGACTTTTAATGATAAATTTATATAGAATTCTAGTCTTATATAGTGGGATATAAAGAATTATAAAGGTTCCATTTCGTCTTATTCTTATATAAGGGCTTAAACGCGGTATCTACTAATATTAACTAAGCGTAAGGTCATAAGTTTCCGCTATAATAATACTAAAACGGCGTGCTAAGCTATATAATATAAAAACCAAAGATCATAATAGAACTAGCTATTTATTGATAATTCTTTTACTCCCTCGAGATATATATTCATAGTATAGATAGTAGTCTAATAGCGTTTACGAGAATACCTTTATTACCTCCTTTCCCTAATATTATAGTTTTGGTGCACATAAAATCCAAATAGCCACCGGTTTCATGCATCTAATTAGGTATTCGCTTATTACCCGAGGTGAGATTAGCTAATTAATCATATATGCGTACTTATCATAAGAGGTCAATCTCTTTCCCGG